GCCATTGCAGTCCGGCCTGGGCAACAGAATGAGGAAAAAAAAAAGAAAAGAAAAGAAAAAAAAAAAACAAAACCTTTATGTTCATGAGAATTTCTGGACTGAGCTGGATTTTTTTTTTTTTGGAGTCATTAAATAAATTTTATATTCATATACCTATATTTCAATGTACTATAGATGCTAAGCTGAAATTAACAAAGTGGTATAAATATTTTTTCTTAAATCTACATCATTTGTCAAAAGTAATAACTGAAAAATGGATAGAAAATTATTATTTTGAATATTTTAACTTAAGAATTCTGAAACAGTACATTCTAAATTAGTTGGCTGCAAATGAATGTAGCTAGGAGATATTTATATTCCTGTCCTGTTTTGATAATGCCATTATATTTGTTGCTGTGTCTTTTCTTTTTGTTACTGAGAATGGCATTAATAGTGAAAACTCATGATTATTTCAAAACTAGTATAGTTATTTAGTGTGTGTGTGAGAATGTTGGCATCAGACAAAGCTGTTAATAAAGTAATTTAGACCTTTTTTGGTCATTAATAACAAAATATTAAAAGTTTGTATGTTTTAAGTTCTTTTGGATTTTTAAACTACAAGGATATGAAGAAGGGTTCTATCATGTTGCATGATTGGCAAAATGTCTGCAAACCAAGTGCATGGAAAGAAATGTAATAAGGAAGTGAAAGCCAAATCATAATGAAAATGATGAAACACATATTGCGGCACTCTTCCAAGAAGTCCTAATCTCATTTGGCTACCTCGTCAGTGGGTATCATTGGTCATGAGGGAGATCTATCCTTAATACTAGACAAATGTTTTTAATTTCAAAACTTCAAAATATAAAGCATTGTTACTGAGTTTGTACTCTAATTTTTATATTTGAAGGTTATAATATTTACACATTTACTACTTTAGGAAGAAAACTAATAATAATTTTTAAAATGTATAATAGTAATAACCATCATTACCATCTCTGCAGCTAGTATTTGTTGTACACTTACTCTGTACCTCTGTTCTAAGTGCTTTGTTTTTGTTGTTTAATTTGTACTAAGAATCTTATGAAAGTAGGTAGTATTATAATTCTAAATTGAGAGGTCTTATAGTTAATGAAATAGAGAGCTGGGATTTGAACCCAAGCAATATTTCTTTACAGCTCATGCTGATAACCCTTTGCTTCACTCTGTCCAGATGTGATTAATGTCAAGATAAACAATTTAGATTTTATTTTTACTTTTGTGTAAAATCTAAAATTTAGGTCTTATTTTTTTTATTTATTTTTTTTTTTTTTGAGACGGAGTTTCACTCGTTACCCAGGCTGGAGTGCAATGGCGCGATCTCGGCTCACCGCAACCTCCGCATCCTGGGTTCAGGCAATTCTCCTGCCTCAGCCTCCTGAG